CCCTTGGTTGCCGCCAGCATCTTCTGTAGTTGCTGCACGTCGCAGCTCATGACGCCGCGAGAGGCAGCCTCACTATCCGCATCGCCAGCCTGCATCACGTTAACACCGAGAAGAGACGCCAGTTCCAACAGCAACGACGTAGTACGAGAACGAAGCTCAACCAAAGCCGGATCCATCTCGTCCTCGTTCATCGAGTGGAACTGCTGTACGTTGATGCCACGGGCATCGAGCAAGTGACGTGCGTCCTGAAGGGATAGCAGGCACTGCATACCGCGGTCCAACTGGAGACGCAGTTTCCAAGTGTCGTTCGCGAACACCGAATTATGACTAGCATCGTCGCTCATTCGCAGGACCTTGGCGGCCTGAGCTTCTGCAGCCACAGCCTGGGCACCAGGACTCGAGCCGCGCACATGTTTCGAGCTGGCCGCTTCGCTGCTGGACTCGGCCGTCGCAGAAGCGGCATCTTCTGTCTCGCCTTCGCCGTTACTTGAGGGGGTACGCTCTGGGTCTTCAGCGCTTGTCGGCGACGAAGCTGGAGGCGAAGATGTTTCATCTGTGCCGGCCAAGTTCAACAACTGCTTAGGACGGTACAGACTGCTCTTGGCGTTGCGGCCGAGCACGTGGTACTCCGATTCCCAGTTACGCGACTTGACTTCGCGCTGTACGTCGCGCGGATCGACGGACTTAACGTGCTGCAGCTTCCACGACGGAAGCGGCACGGACGAGCGGCCAGGCACGCCAGCACGTGTGCGCTTCTGCATGTAGTTGTGGAAGTAGTAGTCGTCACTGAACGGGTCACTTGAGCGTAGCCACTTCATCTGTTGCTGCATCACAAAGTTCACATCTCGCGGAGTCATCATCTTGAAGGCAGGAGGGTGCATCTGCGGAGGTGGGTGGGGTGGGCCGTTGCGGCCAAACGCACCAGGAGGACCAGGGTATGGTGGCCGCATCGGAGGAGGCGGGCCACGTCCGAAAAACTGCGGGGGAGGAGGCGGTCCACCAGGGTACATGCCTTGTGGGGGCGGCATTGGATGCCCCTGCGGCGGGCCCTGCATGTACATCGGGTGGGGAGGCTGGCCTTGCATATGGGGAGGTGGGGGTGGCATGAACTGTTGAGGGTGTTGTTGTTGAAGTTGCTGAGCGTTGGGCGGCGCCATTGGAGGTGCACCCCATGCGTTGGGCGGCTGAACGTTCTGGGGCGGCATGGGTGGGGCAGGAACGGGTGGAGCCTGTGGAAGCGGAGGCGGGGCCTGTTGAGTCGGCTGCACGTTACCGGCCACCGAGTCGTCGTCATCGAGACCCAGACCACTAAGTCCGGGCACTTGGCTCTCATCCAGTTCGGAGTCTTGTTCCAAGCTCAGACCTGGGGGCGGAGCGCGGCCAGCAGTGGCCGAGCTTGACTTCTCAGCTGTAGAACCGTGGAATTTCTCCTCGAGTTTCGAGAATTCCTGCTGGCCTCTGGCCCACTTGATATCATCTGAAGGAGCTGCTAGTCCGGGTGGTGCGCGGCCTGAAGATCCGGAGCTGGTTTTGGTGGCTCCAGACTGGAAGTTGCCCATAAAGACAGCGGAGAACGCGTCATTAAAGAAGAGCGATGAGCCGCCTGCATCACTGGCCTGTGCGCCGCTCTCTACAGGCCCGAGTAGATCGTGCGCGCGTAGATCGGCCAGCAGTGACTCGTATTTTGTGTCGTCCACGCTGCCATTGGTGAAGAAAGCCGGCAGTCCGTCTAGTGACGAGCCGAAAACCGAGTCTTCTGAAGCCATGGCGGGCGTCAGATGCTGATTAGAACGGGAAAACGCGTCTACAAGCAGGAATAGGCTGTAACGGGAGATGGAGGCAAATTCAAGCACTTAGCGAGTGATGTAGGCCGAGTTGAGAGCTGCAACTAGTACGAATGGAAAGAACAGACGAAGGCATATATCGTGTGAGATTCTTGTGGCGAGAAAGTTGCTACGGGCAGCAGGATGCGCGCATATACCTGAACTACTTGGCTACGTGGATGTTGTGGCCCTCCACTTGGCGAATGGAACTCCCCCTCAGAATAGCAACTTAAGATGAAAATTATGTTGCTTGAAAAATGCTTTCGAATTTGAGCAACATAACAGAATAATGAAGCCATTTCGCTTGAAGGTCAGGTTTAACTTACTGCAACTTGTCCTTCTTAGCTGCACGCTTCGCCTTGAAGCGCTTGAGCTCGCGTATCAAGCCCAATAGAAAAGGAAGGATAAGCGGAGCAAGAAGCGGCGCATAGACACCCAGCATCTGCTCTTGAGGGAAGTAGAGCTGGCGGATCATAGTGTGGTCATAGTACGCAGCGTCGGTGAGTTCCGATGCCTGACGAGCCATTACCAACAGACTGCGCCGATCTGAAGCGTCCACGCACTCCTGTTCTCGATTACTATTGCAGAGAATTGCTTCAAGTCTCGTGACGGCTGTCTCCACTCGAGTTTGCACCCGCTCCAGAACGCTCAGCTCCGGCAGCGCCTCGACCAGTTCCACCGTCGACTGCAGCGTCTCAATTGACGTCTGCATCAGTTTAGTGAAGCGGTCGCGCATGATCACGTCCAGTTCCCAATCCGCAATACCGTCGGTGTGTGAAGGTAAGAACAATAGTATCTGTCTCGATGTATCGCCGCTTGTTGCGTCCTCTTTTCGCTGTCGATGAGTGAAGGACGGAGCGCCGAGTAGTGTGCGAAATTCCGAGACGAAAAGTCCCATAACGCGCTGCAATTCACGCTCTTTCGTTGTTGCAATTTCTTCATCAGATGAGGCCACGGAAGGCTTGCCATTAAGCGCTATAGGATTCAAGATTGCGGCAATGCCCCACCCTGGCAGCTCGAACGCCGTTGCCAAACCAGCTTTGCTCTCTTTATGATCAGCAGTGCGAATATACAACGGAGCATGCTTGGTGTCTGGGAGTGCAGCCATGAAGTGAAGCACTTGCTCTCCATCATCCAACACCGAGGTATCCAGAAAATCGTTCGCGCTTTTGAACTGCAGCATCAAAACGACTAAAAGTCAAACGTCTGCATGTCTACGATACCGAAAATCCACTTACATGCTTAAGATCATCAGCATTAATGAAGAATTCCGTTCCGTCTGCACTGGCCGTCACCTCCTTCGCCAATCTCGCATACTGAACCACCTGCGTCTCCACAGTAAAGTTGGCTAGTGCTCCAACCTTGTGGACGAACCTACTCAGATATTGGTCCACTAGCGCCCGTAGATCTTCGTTCCACGGTGTCGTAGGGTTCTCCTTCAATAAGGAAAACTGCAGCCGATAATGCAGCGCCCTCCGCGCTATCTTTGACTCGATATTCGGCTTCA